GGAGAGGGACCCTATAAATACCCTGATTCAGGAAAAGGGTGCACCGTGCATGTGTTAAATACTGGAGAAATCACATGGGAAAAAATCCCTTATAAACGCTCAGCTGGAAGAAAAGCTTCAGTAAGAGCTCACAATTTTTCAGGAACATAAATCCATAGGGAACCATGGTACATTCATTCTGCACCTCATAAAACTACTGCTTTTGTTTTATTGTGATGTACATGGGAGGAAAAAATTATTTAATTTAGGAAACACTGTAAAAAAAACCCCACAGCCTAAGATCCAGTGGATTTAAGTGGATCTGGTGGATCTAGCAGGTTTAGGAACTAGGATTCAGTAGCCCATTTGTGGTTGGCGTCCTGTTTGTAACAGAAACCAGCACTAGCAGAGAGAGTGGTGTACCACCTGAAATAGGAAAAGGTGCTGAAGAGGGCTAGTGAGGAAAGTCAGGGGCCCAGGAGACATGATCTATGGGGAAATGTTGTGGGTCCTGGGGTTCTTTCTTGTGGCACTGAGGAGACTAAAGGGGATGGGTCTAACTGTAGACTTCAATTATTTGAAGGAGAGTTACAAAGACAGTGGAACCAAACTCTTGGTAGTAACAGATGGTAAGAAAAAGGCAGAGGGAATGGTTACAAGTTGTATTTTGGGAAACTCAGGCAGGACGTAAGGTGAAATTTCTTCATAAGGTGAGTAGGGCAGCACTGGCACAGGTTACCAAAAGAAATGGTAGAGGCTCCATCATGGAAGGTTTCTAGGTCTCGTGGGTAGCCCGTTGGCAATAGCACTATTCCTAGGGGAGGCTGGACTAGACACCTCCAGAGGTGCCTTCAACCACCATTTCTGTGGTCCTTTGACTACAAATACCAGAAGATGATGCAAGGAAACAGCCTGTATGAGCTAAGCTGTAACTTGCACAGTGGCAACTTTTATCTCAACTTTATGAGCATATGTGAACATGTTCTTAGTCAGTGTTCAATTCTTTGTACAGAAAAATGGTTTTATTAAGGTATTTGTGATTATAATTTGCTAAATATAAATAGCGGAACTTATTTTGTACTGTGCTAAACTTGTGTCAGCCACATCTTGTGCCTCTTGTACCAGACCTATAGCATTATGCTACAGATTGTTTTCAACCAGCTTTGGTTATTAGGATTTACAGAGGCATCAGCAGACTGTGGATGACTGTCACTGGTTTTCTCTCAAAGTTTCTTCTTGCATAGAGATTATCCAAAAAAAGGCCTTTTATATATAGGTCTTTTGAGGCCTCCAGCAACTTATTTTTCTGGATGATTAATTTCTGCAGTCCATGTACTTCTGTTAACTTTTTGAGGTAATGTGTTCAGACCCAGGCAAGTTTTATGATTTCATCAGAACTAAAGTATGCTTAGAGCACACTGGATTATAGCTCAATTAATTTTGCATCCCAATTAAGTGGAAGACAGTCTTGTCACCAACAAGTCTCTTTTCTGTGTTAAATCTATCCTGCTTCAGGTGCGATGCAGAGAATGAGAATGACTTACATGAATACATGAAAACAGATCCAAGCTCTTGCCTGCACTCTGTAAGATGCAAGCCAGCTTCAACCTGGACCCATAGCCATGGCAGTGAGATACTGTGCTGCTATCTGGGTATTCCCTACCTACTAGCTTCTCCCTACCTACTAGCTCAGCAGAGCATGTAGCATAATTAGAGGAGCTTAGGTGCACCTTACTACTATCTGTAGAAACATCTCATGTGGAAGAGTGAGGAAAAAAGTCAACAAGCTCTTAAAGAAAGGAAAAATACCAAAGATCAGAATCATTCTGGCAGCAGGCACAGCTCTAGGGCCTGCTTTGGCTGTAAGTTACTGCCTGATAGGCATGCAGAGGGCGTGCAATAAATTTGTCTTGGGCACTAGCCAGCAGTCTGGTTTGTAACACTGAACTTCATTAGCACAGTACTCTCAAGATGACTGAAAATTCTAAGTTTGTACAGTTAGTTTCCTCTTCTGCTTCCAGTATTCATCGCACTGTGCTTTGATTCTGATTTAACTGTAGATTTTATTTTCCCTTTACTCTTGATGATAAAAAAAAAAAAAAAAAAATCAGTAATTGTTTAAACTCTGTTGGACAGTTAGCTTTATCTATAGATCACAATGTACACGTGGTAAACAACATGCTTCATTTCCAGGTAGCCTTGAATTAAACATATGATTATCTTCCTGTAATCAACTCATTAATTTTTTTGCAAAATTTGTCCAGATGACCTCTTCTTTCCATCCCCTCAGCTGTGCACAGCAGGACATCCTAGAAGACTGCAGCCTATGCCACTGATACACTTTTGTGCTTGGGGCCCTTGGGCAGTACTTCTCCTTTAGAGGAATTAAAAGCTACAGAGATTATCTCAGTGGGCACAAGCAAATATTTGTAGTACCTATAGATACAAAGATTTTATCAGTGCTATGAAAAACCCTGTTGTGTCATCACAAACCTGAACACATGAGGTGCAACGTCACAGCCTGAGAGCTGTGTAGCGTAGGTCAATGGTTCCCAATCATTCTGTCCTAGAAGGAAAATCAGCAGAGTGTTTCACTGGATGCACCCCTATTCCCCGCCTTCTTCCCAGGGCTGTTGCTGCCTCTCCAAAATAATGTTCTGGAAGCACAGTTTGCAGAGCCCACCAAAGTCCTGTGGTCTGCTCATTTGTACTCGGCTCTTCTGTGGTCACAGAACCAATGCACCTGCTAGGCTGGCAGTTCAGGAAATCTCCCTTCTTAAAGTTGTTTCTCTTTGTACACGGATGACTTTTTTTTTTTTTTGCCCTGGGTCACTTCCCATATGCCCATTTCTGGGTCATGGACTTTTCATTTTCTGGGTGTCTGATACAGAATTAGATCAGGGCTGCCTCTCACTCACAAAAGCTTGACTGCAAGTCAGTAACTCAGCAAATTCTCAACTCAGTCACATCTAAACATAAGGCTTCAATGGACTGGATACTTCCCATGACCAATTGCTATCAGTAGTTTGCAGGATTTACTAGAATTTCAAACTGCAGAGGACAAACAGTATGGTTTCTTGTCCTTGAATTACAGGAACAACTGAATCCTGGAATAAATGATTGCTTGTCATTTGTTATATATTTGCAGGGAACTGAAGACATAAGAAATGAGAACCATGGACTTAAACTGCAGCAACATGAAGAAACCAGCTCCAGTTCATGACCATCTAGCTCCATGAGTCTCATGTCTTCTCTTGTCTTCAGTGCCAAGTGAATTGGCAGATTTTTGCTTCCCTTTCAAGAGTGAAGAACAGTCAGTCTGCCTTCTCACTGTCAGGAAAACATACTCCTCTCCCCTTCCCCACCTTCAGGTGCCACTAAGGGAACTTTGCTGTTTTCTGAGACTTAGTCAACTTTCCTTTCTTGTCATGTTGTAACCTCTCTGCATCATAGTATTCACTCTCCCAGGGCTCAGCTGTAAAAACACCAGGCCTAGGATACAGAAAGGACACATTTCTGGCATAGAATAAGATATTAAAACCCACATCTGATTATTTTAGACATTAAATTACTGGAGCTCTTTGCAGTATTGTGTAAGGAATTAATTGCACATATATACACATTCACCTGCTATGAAATAGGCAGACCAGACACACTTTCCCCATGAGGAAAAGCTGCCACATACCTATTAAATTGGACTTCGATACTGCAGGCAACACCTCTCTGAAACTGCCCAACAAACCCTGAACTGCCCATGAGCAAAGCAGCCCTGCTGACATATGCAGGGCTCCTCCACTGGAGCTGGCAGATGGCAGAGGCAGTAGATTCAAAAGAAGCCTGGAGGGAACAGCACAAGGGATGCGGCAGCATTAACAATACACTGAAATAACTACCAGGGAGAAAAAGAAAAGAAGAAAAAAGCCAGTCCAAAACTGAGAGAGATCTTTAATTTAAAAACCGAATAAGCTTATTCATTGGGAAAGTGCAACAAAATACCCCAGGGATATGCATTCCACTCCAACAATTAAAATTGCATTAAAAAGCAGATAGGAAGGTCCGAGTCTTAAAGAGAACTGGCACAAAAGCTAGTGATTTTCTTTGTTTCAATATATTTATCTTTGGGTGACAGAGATAGTCACTGATTAATTTTTTAGGTACTTAATTTACAACTTCATTGCTTCTACTTGCAAGTCATTCTGTTCCTTAAAGCTAGGTTGGGACTGGAGGACCATAATCTACAGGCACTTAAGAGGGGGCAGTTTTGAAAGAATGGGGATGTAGGGCTCAGTCACATACTTACTGTTGAGAGGAGATCCAGCTGGGAGCTAATAGATAGTCTAAGTAGATATTGCCCCCAATTGTTTCTCTCTAAAATCTGAGGTATGCAAAAAAAGTCCAGTTCCACTCATAAGAGCAGTTTCAGCTGCAGCTGACAGGGTACAAGCAGGCAAAAGGAGAGCACAGGACTACAGCAAGCTTACAGCAGGTGTTGCTCGAGGAAGCTGCTTGTTTCTGATCACTGAACCAATTTTTGCTGTAGAGGTAATTCTCTTGGAAATGCTGCAGGTAGATCTCATACCCATAGCAGCCTATTCTCATTCATACTTGTTACTGCACTTCAGCTGAGCTTTACAAGCCCAACAGGATTCTGTAACACACAGGAATTATATCTTTTGCTAGCACTTTCTGCCCAATGATTTCAAAATACTTTGTGAGCATCACTGAACCAAGCTTAAAATTCTCTGACATACAGCTATTTTAAAGGGAACCGAGTGCAGTAAACGTCTGCAACAAAATGGCAATAGAATTCATGTCCTGAGTCCCACTCCTGAACTTACCCTTCTTTTCCTTTTAAATTCTTTTTCTCCCCCAACCTATTTCTTACAGCAAGAAGGACTATATTTATTCTGCAGAAGTTTATTAATCCCAATACAGACAAGTGACTTCTAGTATGATTACATTAGTTCCCAATTCCATATGGAGGTTGGCTGTCCAGTCTACATCAGCATGATCTCCTGGTCTCAGCTGTCTGTATTTGGTTTGTGTCTCTTGGCTCTGCTGTTCTCCTGATAGTGCCTGTCTTCAAAGGGTGCTTGGCCCTTTCCATTTGTCCCATATTCCTCTGGAAATTTCTGACCCTCAGCCAACACCTGCCGAATAGTAATATTAATGCGGGAAGACTGCAAGTACTTGGCACAGACCTGCCAATCCTCATCAGCGCTGGGCTCAATGACTGAGCCAACAGGAAGGTCTGAAGAAAGTGCCTGGTCCAGGCACGAAGGCAAAGCTGTCCCTTCAGGGTTGGGGAAGACACGGGGGACAGCATGGTACAGCAGACGGCTGAAGCCGGACATCACCATGATATCTCCACTGTGCATGAACATTGCTGTTGGGGCCTCCTCCCGCTTCAGGCCCCCAAGCAAAAATATCGAGGATTGCCCAAAACTAGAGATGGTATGAGGATGGAGAGAGAAAAGAAAACAAATTCAGGTAGAGAACAATTATATGTACAGTAAGAAAGTATTAGCAGCTAAATCCCTTTATAAAAAAAAACCCAAACAAACAAACAAGAAAACCAGATGGATTCCTAGTAACAACTTTACAATGAGAACATGGAAAACAGACTAAGAGGCCTGGTTCAAGGTAGGCAGAATATGAGCAGTTGCCCTGCCAGGTTTAAAGCTCTGCTGAGGTACTTCATCCTTGCCTGCTAGTACCCAATTGCCACTCTGCTGCTTCAGAACAGAACTGTGCTCTGTGCAAAGAGCTCCTCCACTCCAGGCGCCACATCCATGCTATTCAAGCAGTCTTTAAAGAAAAACCTATGCCCTTGAGCTACAGCTTCCTACTATTCAAATCTTCAGAGAGAGAAGATTTAGCAAACTACATTGTACTGACTTCCTATAACCATATGCAACCATAGAAAAAAAGCCACCAATCCTTCCACAATGCTCAAGTGCTTTCCTTGACTCACCTGAATGATAAAAGGGGCCGAGAATGGTCTAGTTCAGACTCATCCACATGAATTCCCAGTGAAGAGTCAAAATGATAGTAGTTCAAGATCCCTGCTTGGGCTTGGAAGCCCTGGAACCCGCAGGCTGCGGCCACTTGTTCTGACAGGAATGCAAGGTCTGAGGGGAAAGGAGTGTGGTGATTTGCTGAGTACTTCTGGAAGAAGGAAAGGGGGGGAGGGGGGGAACAAAAAAACAAACCACACCCAGAACATCAGAGCAGCAAATACAATTGGAAACAAACATCAAATGAGAACTCAGAAATTTGGCTGACATCATGGAGAAGGACATCATATTTGCTTGGAAAATGACTACAACATAGGTAGAACCACTGCAAGTTTACCTCTTATCATTTAATTCTGGGCCTATGCTGAGACTGCCAGAGATTCAGTTAATCGTGGAGTTAATCATATCTGGATGGCAAACTTGAAGTCAGTAGGATTAGTACCTAAGGTTAATACCAACATCCTGAGGATCTACTTGGTCACTACTTAAAGCTGCCAATGGGAAGACAGTTCTGTATCTCATCAACAGAACTCTGAAACAAGCATCTTTGTTCCTTCTTTGAAGAGCAAGACAAACAGGAATCAATTGCAAACCTACTGTTCTCTCTCCCATGAGTGATTCTGAGAGGATTGTAAGGAAAGAACCAAGTTTTTATTAAGGCCACCCAATAATAGGCTGACCTGGTGAATATAAGGCTGCAAGCAGATTTGGTTAAGTATCTGCAATATACTGATAAGACTGCATATTCACTCTGCCATCTTTTCTCAGCTTCCATCTGACTCAGTCTTATGAAAAAGTTTATTTTGGTCAGGAGCCCCAAAATAGCTGTTAGTTGGTGAGACTGTACTATACTGGTTCAGACTCTTAAGTTCACATCAGCAGTCTCTTCCTGCTCTCGCTCACACCTCCAAAGAGGACTAGTTTCTCAGAAGCAGCTATCTTCAAGCACTCAAGGTCATTCTCACCTTAAGTAGTTAACGGTGCTTTTGTGACATCCCTTTTGGTAGGGTAAAAATGCTCACTTACCCTGAAATAGAGTCACAGGTCTAGAGTTGAGTATATGCTACCATATTACCTTTCAAAGGAAAGAATGCAGCAATGGACTTTTGCTGTTAAATCCTTCACAGTAAACTAAAACAGATTAAAATGTTCTTAGCAAGCATGGTTTGTTACAGCCTTTCCTCAAGACTGTCTTGTAGGATCACAAGCATTTTATTCCATGATACCCTCCTCTGTCTACCATTGAGTGCTTACAGCTAAAAAAATGGAGAAGGATTTAATTTCAATACCTTAGTATCCCAATTGTAATGGTAACCAAGGGTCACCCAGCGTAGCTTCTCCAATAAGCTTCTGGGCTCCTGTTTACTGGAACCTTTCCTTCTGCAAAGACAAAATGGAAAGAAATAGGATATGTGTTAATTTCTGAGGGGTTCGCTGGTAGTGCAGCATACAGTAATGAGATTCACTCATCTGTATGACAGCCTATTAAAATGATCAATGCTAAACTTTTATTTTCAGTGCCATTATTTTTTCCTCCAAAGACCTTGAAAATTCAGTTCATGCAATTTCTGCAAGCTATAGGGCCTACTGCTCTCAGTTTGAAAGCTTGTATTTTCAACATGGTACATGGGTTATCAGATAGAGACAACACAATGAACTGGTGCAGATTTGGAAGTCAGAATTAAGCATGTACTATTTGTGCACCTGAAAGTGAAAGAACAGAATCTGTGAAGATCTAAAAGCTGCAAACCCAAGGAAAAAAAATATTCTAGGCACTTAATGGAAAATAACAAGAAAGGAAAAATCTTCACCTGACTGTGAAGGATATCAAGCTGCATAATACTGCAAAGGACCATTAGATCTACTACTTGGTACTTTTACAAGAAGTCCTTAGGATGGACTGACTCAATATTCATAAGAAGCAAGACTGCTCTAGCTATGACCATACACTTCTTATAATGTCAAGAGTCTAGATTGCAGGTGTCTCCTATCCAGGCTGTAGGACAAAAAGCTGTTGTTCTCAAGTGACAGCCCTAATGCAGAAGGACTCAGTGGCCTGAAGCCATGCGCCAATTTACCATTCTTGAAGGTGGTGAAGGCAGGAAGAGACCTCAGGAATGGGCTTTTACTATGGCCTTAGGAAAAGTCCTTAAACAGTTACGAAGAGTATTACATCTACTATAGTAAATTGGATAGAAACATGCTAGTCCACTTATTCCAGCAATTCCAGCTTCTTTTCTCAAGCTAAGTCATGTGTTATGGTAAAGAACGAAAGAAAAGTGAAATGTACTCAGAAACATCATGATAAACATTAGCACCAGATGGCTGGCTCTCATTTATAGCCTCATTAGTTCAGTAGGACTCTCTTTTACAAAACAGGATTCCTATTTGTGCTGCCATGGTCAAGTCTCAGCCAAGCATCTGCATTTAATGTGCATTTCTACCTGGATACACAGCTTGTTTCTGCCCTTCACCTATACCATACTGATAGCTCCTAAGCTAAACCAGGAACAGGGGTAAAAAGCCAGTTTCTTTACCTTTAGTAATTTTTCATAGCTCGCTGATTATTGAAAGTCATTTTTCCAGTTTCCATCTTTGTCATAAGGTAATAGCAACTGCAATTACTATAATGCAGCAACACAGTAACTGTCAAATACATGCTGCTTGGAACAATTTATGGAGACTACAAGCAGGTAACACAGCAGTTAGAAAAGGGAGAGCCCACAACTCGTTCATCTTTCAATCGACAAACTTAATGTTCATAATTAAACATTTTTAGCACGTGCCTTTTGAAAGTGCCCTTCTTCTTTTGCTACAGTGCTAGAGTGTTTCCACAACAGCAGGAACCCTAATATGCTCGGTAGGTCCTTATTCCCAAAACTTAGTATTTTACATGTGATTTCACATGTGATTGCTAAGGAGAGGGAAGTCTGAGCATTACGTATCTGGAAACAGTAAGTTCCTAGAGCTGTAGCAGCAGGTGCTTCTACAAGAAAGCACAGAGAAATTCTGGTAGAACTATGTTAGAAGGAGAACAAGACTGAACAGCAGGGGGACTTTGGTCTGAAGCTCCCTTTTTTCTTTATTCACTGGTAAATGATTGCATCTATAAAATCCCCCCAGCCTTTTCCTTATACATAAGGATATATATATCCCCGCTAGGGATGCTCTACTCCCTTTTATGCTTTTAATTGTCCCCAGCACTAAAGAAAATACCTGAACTCCACTTTGTGGAGAGAGCATAGCATACATTTCTAGGAACTGTATGGACTCTCCCTACCTTGTGATTCCTGCATCCTGAAAAGAGCAGATAAGCCACGACCCAAGCACACTTATGCATGTTCCTGACAGCTTTAAAAAGCATTAAAGTTGTGTCCAATCTTGGAAGTAGACATCTTTTTAGTTAAGCACTCTGTTTCTCCCCTCCCTGAAAGGCTCTCACTCCAGATACTAGACAAGTTGGCTAGTTTGATCCGCTGTCCCCTAGGTAAAAGCACAAATACAGCAGTTTGCTCACTTGAAGACTCAGAAAAGTGCTTAATAAAACTGCCAGTGTTTCTCCCAGCCACCACTCGTCCAAACACTGTTTTCAACTGAACTAGATTCAGCTGCAAATTAACCTCTGTTCTGATCATTCTCTCTGCGTGCAGGAGGTGCTGCTGGGAAAGGCCTGTCAAGCTGGAACAATACCCTACTTTTTTCAGCTGTAGGGCACAGTGCACAATACTTTCAAAGAACAATTTTTCATCCTTGACAGAACACAAAAAAGGCATCTGAATTTCTGACTGAGCCTGGAAAACACAAGTGGGGTCATAACTTCTCTCCTAGGTGCAAATATTTAGAAGTCCAAATTTTGCTTTTGCCATTCCATATCTTGTAGATGTTAAGAGTATTTTTGAAGAAAAATCTCAGCATGTCAATTTTACTAAGAGACTGAGGTGGAAGATGAGAGTTGTAGGGAACTCTGGTCACTCCATCACACAAAACAATCGTTATGAAAAATGAGCAGCGAAATCAAAAAGGTAATGATAAATACCAAATACCCAAATAACTAAAAGATTGTGTACTGTAAACAGCATCTTCTATCTTGTATGTATTTTTACAGGTGACTTAAAAAAAAAAAAAGGTCTTTAAAACTTGGACTTTAAAACTTTCTAGTTGACTTCAAAACTTCGACAAATTCTCCATTAACTTCCAAATCAGGTAGAGGAAAGGTAGCTGTGTCAGCTACAGAACTCTGAACCTGTGGGAGTCTTTCAAAGTAAACAGGATTGCCATCAAAATGGTACATTTAATCACCATCTCAGATTGAATGAAAAAAAAAAAAACAACAAAACAAAGAAGTACTTTGGAAAGTAAAACCACAGAAACTAGCTGACTTGAGAAGTTCAAAAAAGTGCAGATAACAGCCTTTCAATTACGGTTATACTAGGTCCAACAGCTGACTGGGAAGAAGAGCTGGCATGAGTGGGGTGTTTGGAAAGGATGCCTTTTACCTCAGGAAAACTAAGGCCTAGAGGGACCTCATGGTTCCCCTTGTAGCTGAGCTTAGTAAACTTCCAAGCACCATGGTATCAGCCAGGGCCACTATTTTACATTCGACTGATGGCTCTGGAATAATTTGCTACTAGAAAATCCCAATGAGAGTGTGAAAGCAGAGATTTAACAAGGATGCATGTCAAGCCATGAAAAAATCCATCTTTAACTTGGCATGTCTGACACCATCTGTACGCTGCCAGCATGTACACAATCTTTTTCAGCTTCCCTTCCCTGCTCATTTTTCTTAGACCTTCTCAGAGCTGAGACCTTCTGGCTCTGCTAGTTTTGACCACCAAAGGTTATTGTGGACTTACCTCAGCTGCTCCTTGCTCTGTCCCCACAGGTCAATGGTCTTCTCAGGAGCCATGTGCATGTCCAGGTTGCAGACATTGGGTTTCTGGGGGTATAGCTTGAGACACCGTTTCACCCAGTGACGCTGGCAGCCCGGAAGGAAAGGGTTTGGTATGAAAATAAACCCTGACCGTAGAGAAAGAGGGAGGGGGTGAGGAGAAAGTATGATTAGACATTTCCCTGTTTTTTCTAAAACGAGAGCAAAGACAGGTGCTGGAGGTACTGAAAAGACACCTTAGATATACAACCACTGACTTTGCATGTAAGCTGATGAAATCTATTAACAGGTTTGAATAGTTAAGTTAAAACCTATTGTTTTTTTCAGTATAAACAAATGGTGGCCAAAAGGTAGAAGGCAGGGAGGGCAGCCAACACTGGTCCAAGTAAAAAATGACAATAAAGGACATATCTGTGTAAGGCATATTGACTACAGGTAGATAAAGGAGTAAGAACTTGGAAAACCAATTGCTTTGGAGTAAATTTGATTTTGAAATGATTCAGCAAGATTCTTCTCTTGAACCTTGCAAACTTAAAGTAATTCTAGCCTATTTTTTCTAGACTTCAGACTAACCTTGTCGCTGCCTCTGAACTTGTACTGTCTTCTTATTGCTACTTCAGTATCATCAACTGCAGAGAACAGTCCAAGGGCTGAGCAAGTCTCTAGTAACATAAATTGTCCTCTCCTTTGCTTCATGCTTATTTCCAGGCAAGTCTGGTTATATCCATCTTTGTATTTTGGTATGGCAATACCCATCGAAGGGGATGAAAGTCACATTATATCCCAAACTGCTTATTGCTGAGTGCAAATACTTTGCAGTCATTGTTAATTAACAAAACAAATTAAACATGTAGCTAGTCTGCACATTCATTTAGCCAGGCACCTCAGACAGAGTTCAAGCAGCAGCCCAAATAAGAGGGTTAGCAGAGATGCCATGGATTGATTTGGTCTATATCTTAACAAACAAAGAGTCCTTGACATAACATCTGCCATCACCAGGAGTGCTAACAGGATTCGTCACTGGAATTTTCTCCCCAGCACTCCAGGGGTGTTTCCTTCCAGGCCAGGGTCCACGGTATTAATGAATGAGTGTCTGACAGGAAGATGCTATTAATCTGTATTGTACCTACTCTAAGAATCAAGACACTCTCTCAAAGACTGTCAATTCAGTAAGACTCACCAACACAAAATTCACATAAGGGTATAGGAGGAACAAAGGTAAAGGAGGTTTTAAGGTTTTGCCCTACTGTGTCTTTTTGAACTTCTCAGTCATATCAAGTTAAACACAGACAAAAATAGACGAAAAAGGAAGATGCAAGGCTAGGAGTCTCAGTAGGATACAAACTTGCCTTGTGGCCTTATGAAAGTGGTAATAAAAGCACAGAAAAAGCTTCCTGCCAGCAGATCTCACAGATCTCACAAGATTAAATTAACTGGTTAGAAAAAGAGCCTTCAGTGTATTAATAATACACTGTCATTCATTTCACTCCATTCCCTGCACCTTTAGACTATGGCAGCCTTCTGATAGGTCTAGTTACAAAAAGTTTCTTTGCCAGAAGCATTAACTTTACTTTCTATTGGCGTCTGCATAGAACAGAATAATAATATTGCCCTTACTGTCTACAGCTCTTGATGTGGGGTTCTCAAAGCACTTTACTACATTCATGGAATTACGCTCTACTGTGTATGTATTATCTCCAGGTATTAATGAAGGACTTGAAGACTGTAGGGCTAGTTACACACAGAGCTGAAAACAAGAATCCAAATTTTATGACTCTTGTATCAGAAGCTTAGAACATGCTCATGTGTCTCCAAACCTTTCGTTGATTACTCCTAAGAAACCAGATTAGTCTAAATTTATAAAAGTGAGAACAACTAAAAAGTGGGTTACTGCTATGCTTCTGATGTCAAGAAAGGCAGAAAACCCTGAATTTCTAACAGTTGCAGAGTTCTACTATAAAATTCTACACTAACATTCAAGACTAATAGTTCCTAGGAGTGCTAGAAATCAGTGACTTACCACACATGGGAGGGAGAAGAGTAAGAAATATATTTCTCTAGCAATCTTAATCAGAACACCACAGACTAAGAACACCACAGACAAGCTTTGAAGGCAACACAATTGAACGTCTTGGCCTTGAAAGAGTTGATCTGAGTGGAATGGGCAAAAGATGAATTCTTTGGGGATCGTATACTAAAGGAATCTGCCTTGAGGAATGAGATGCAATTCTCTTACTGCAGCAAAATCTTGCGGCACCCTAGGAATTAATGTACACCTAGTGAAAGTGGTCTCCAGCCTCAGTCAAAGGAAGGATAAGACACTCAGATGTCTAGCAACAAGAACAACCCCTCATAAAACCAATTTGTGTCAGTTACAAAGACAGCATCACCCACATCTCACAGAACTCAGGACACCGCAACAGAATTACACCCAGCTTCCTTAGTCTAATATTTCATTGCTCACTGTGGGGACAAAACCAAATGACTTCGCTTCCATTTGCCCATAGACAAACTAAAGAAATTCTAAGTTATTTTAGAGGGCTATTGCGGCAGTTGGTTAAATATCTTATAGTGCTTTAGGATGTCCAGATAAAGATAGCTGGAAAAAGATAAAATATTATTCTTGTCCACACATGATTTGATTCTAAACAGGACTGAGAATTTGTTAATGTATTTGCATTTCATTTTAGTGAAAGGTTTGCTTTGTCAAAGCAGAAGAAAAATGCACTTAAATGGAACACTTGTAATCCCCTCCGCATGTAATTGCTAGGAAAGACGTTCAGACATAAAATGACAAGTGTGACCAAGAAAGGGCAGCTATAATATGACAGGTAAGTGGAACAAAGAATTTATAGAGGCAAGAAGAGGTGGAAGCCTTTCTCCTGAAGTTATTCTATCCCTTGTGTGTTAACCATGCCAGATGGCTAGCGCGGCTCCCTCAGTTTCAGACATGGTAGGCTGGCTTCATAGCAACCTACACAGACACTGACTGCACTCCTGATGAACCAAAAGAAACATGAGAAAAACCAAAATCAAACAAACAAAAATCCTTGAAATAAGGAGGATCTGGGGAACTAAAAACTCAACAGCCTTACCAAAACCCCTGGTAAGACTATGGAGCAAACTTTCATGACAGCCATTTCCAGACAGAAGATGGTTGGGAACAGCCAGCATGGATTTACTGAAGGCAAATTTTGTCTAACCAGCCTTACTGCCTCCTACAGTGAGATGCCCAGACAAGGGGAGAACAGGGGATGCTGTTAGCAGAGTTTTCCAGTCAGTCTCCTGCAGCATCATTGGAGCCAAACTGGGGGCTCATGGATTTTATGGGTAAACTAAAAGGGTGAGCAAAAGTTGGCTGGGCCACCAGGCTTAAAGAATAGTGATTTGAAGGTTCAAAGTTTAACCAGTGGCTGTTATGAGCTGCATTCCTCAGGTTGAGAATGGAGCCAAGTCTGATAACTACATCTACATCAACAACCTGGACGATGGGACTTTAATCTTCATCACACTTACAGATAACACTAAATTGGGGCAGCAGTGGACATGCTGGAGGCTACTGCTGCCACTGAAAGGGACCTTGACAAACGGAAGGAATGGGCCAACAAGAACCTCAGGAAGTTCAACAGTGATAATCCTGCACCTGGGGCAGAATAACCCCATGTAACCAGGGAACAGCTCTAAATTAAAGGACGAGGGAGTCTTGGAGGACAAATTGAGCACAAGTCAGTAGTGCACCCTTGCGGCGATAAAGGCTGATTACACATTGGCCTATACTAGAAAGGGCTACCTAAAAAGGCATTATAGAGAAGGTGGACCCAGATTTTTCTCAGAGGTGCATAGCAAGATTATGAGAGGCAACAGTCACAAATTACAGCAAGGCAAATTTTGATTAGCTGTAAGGTGAAGAAAAAAAAAAAAAAAAAAAATCACAAGAGTGGCCAAACACTGGAACAGGTGCCCAGAGAGGGCATGTAATCTCTATCCTTCCAGACTTCCAAAACTCACCCATACAAAGCTCTGAGCAACCTGATCTAACTTTCAACTTGACCCTGCGTTAAGCAGGGAGTTGGACTAGACCTCTGGAGGTCCGTTCCAACCTAACATCTTTCTGTGATTCTACCAGGTGACCTGCAAACCTAAGATCCATTTCAGTTTTTGAAATAACCTGCCTAATGAAATTACTCTGTACCTTGAATAGGACAAGAAGTTCTTACTCACTTAGTGTATTCAGTGTTCTACACCAGCAAGTAGATGCCACACTTCAGCCCTGAAATGCCCGTATTTCAGTCACTTATCTAATTTTCATGCCATATGTTGAAGAAAAATAGATGCTACAGAAATATAAAATCTTTATCAAAGGCAACAGGAATCCATTCTCACAAGGGATGGTCTGGGTGATCAGAGTCTGTGAAACAACTGGCCCTTCTGTTCTCACTTTCATATATATTGCTGCATCCCACCCTTTAGCTGACTCGTTTGTCCTCCTGCACTTAAAATAACGTTAAATTACACTTAGGCAAACCAAAATAGCTTTTTGAGGCAGGGCAAGGAGGATAAGATAGAAGATGCCTGAACTCAAAGCAACAAGGTTGTGTTTAATTTTTCTTGAAATCAGAAGTACCTACCCGGATACCCATTGAGGCCATAGGCTTTCCACTGGCTAACTGGCTGTAATCCTGCTCTGCAGGCATCTTGATCACTCACTGAAGAAATACTGAGCTGTGATCTGAACACCTGGCAAAAGAAAACAGATCTGGGGTTAAAAAAAAAAAAAAAAAAAAAGAAAAAAGGAAGAAATATAAAACTCATCCAAAAATAGCACCTATAAGAAAGAGTGCTCCCATATTCCAAGATAAGTCTCATGAAAATGCCAACCGTACCACAGAACTATTGTCTAAGCAACTGTGAGCAGAACAGGGCATGCTGCTCACAGAGCTAGTATGTACTCAACACAAGAATCAAAAGGTACCTACAGTTTTTACAATACTTGGGGATCAGCAGAGATGTCTTCCATTCATAAAAAAACCCCAAATAATTTATACCAATAAGAAAAAATTCAGCACTATTTGTCCATTTCCACACTACAGCCTCATCATTATAAAACATTCTGGTAATTATCAATTTCCATTAGAGAGCAATATTTAGTACCCATAACACTTTATATCTTCAAAGAATGTTCCAAATACAAGTTGCTCATGATCCCATAGGGTAGATGACTATTCTAATCTGTAATTTACAGAAGGAGAAGAGGTACAGTGATGAAATTAAGGCCTTTGCAAGCAGACTCTGCAGTGGTGAATGTGTAAATCAGTCTCTCTGCAGGCTGACAGCTCTGGTTAACATTTTCTGAGCAATGGGTCTAAATTATGTACATAGAATCTGTAAGAAAACTCTGAACTAGTGCTGGGCAGCAGCTTCTGGCAATGTGCTCAGTTTCACCAATTTTTCAGCTCTCTACCAAAAGCAGCTTTGCAACTGCCAGCCTTGAAGAGCTTAGTTCAGAGTCCTGTCTGCAGAACATCCCCAGGAAGGCTCTTTCTTTGACTAAGACTCTTGCCACCCCTCTACCTTCTCAAACTGCTTACACACAGGCTGCTGCCAGGACTTCCGGAGAACAGGAGCTGTTTCTATGCTGAAGAATTACATGTGCTGAATCAGTCAAATAAGCCTGGTAGCAGGGCAGCTGGGGTATGTCACACTTCACTGAAGAGCTCAATCACTTGAAGCAGTTTTCTGAGAGAAAAGGAACAATAGTATCTGGGCCAATCTGCCTGGCCTGTAGCTCTTCTTAAAAGAGAAAAGCCAAATGTTTTTAACCTGGGGGAAAGAGGAATAAAAGATGCTTTCACTAGTAAGCTATCAACTGATCTTAGAAGGTAACAGGCACAAAAAGAATGATATGGAGAGGGGACAGATGCTTGTGACGCTTTCAAGTACTTTAAATTTCCCAGAAGGGCTGTAATGCTGGAAGCCTTTATTTGATAAAGGATTGCTGCAAGCTCAAGAAAGGCTGAAATGTTAACTCCCTTGTTTAATGCTAACGCCTTGAACAATTTCATATGGGTCAGGTTTTGTGTACCGTTAACAATATCAAAATTATAGTCTGAAAAGATAGAAAAATACCTATTCTAATAGAACAGTAAAAAGAAAAGGCTAAGCATTTGAACTATGAAAAATTAGGTAAAGTTTCATTTTAACTATATTCCCTACTCCCTTTTTTCATATAGATTCATAGGTAGAAAATCACTGGTTAACAATACTTCAGCAGATAGCCGTTATCCTTTTGTGAGGTAAACAAAATGGAAGATGAGTTTAAAGGATCACTTCTCCGTCACTCGAGACATGGGAAACTACTAACCATGATGGCTACTACTTTCAGATGTGCCCCTGACTGCGTGCCCCTAATCCACTGCAACGGTTGGACTTGTCCTGATGGCTAAGCCAAACGTTTATTAGACAGGAGTAAGAAAGGATAAGAAACTTTACCAAGAGGAACACAGCAAGAACCCTGGGCACATACTGCACAGCTGGGGGAAGCTGATCCCGGCTCCCTCTCCAGCTCACCCAGGTATTTCGGGGCCAAGACAAGGACCAGCTGGCCCAGAAAACAGCATCACCTCCAATAGTGAAACTTGCTTTTTTCCATCCACGTGTCCCTTTGCTTCCCTTAAGTAACGTGTGGTTCTATTAGAGGCTTTGGAGATCCCTTCCTGCAGCGTAGAGAGCTATTAAACATTATGGAAGTAAATAAACATAAGCAAAAGTGTTATCTGTGGATACACAGCGTGCTGGCCAGGGGCGGCTGGGACGGCAGCTTGTGCCCTCGGGCAGGGTCCTGTACCCCCGCGGGCTGCCGGCCCAAGGGGACCCTGAGCGAGCCTGCCTCTGGGTCCTGCAGGCAGAGGGGCCCTGGGCCCTCAGAGCTGC